TGGGGGTCCACATAGGCCCTACAACATAGGTCCTACAACAGCCGTGCAATGGCTTGGTTTATAGGACTCTTCCAGGTTGGGCAGGTGTGAGGGTGGTGGTGGTGAAGATTGCAATGAACAATTCTAGTTGTATTAGGTCCTTCTTGCATTGCTATAAAGAAATACCTTGGCCGGGCGCGGTGGCTCAAGCCTGTAATCCCAGCACTTTGGGAGGCCGAGGCGGGTGGATCACGAGGTCAAGAGATCGAGACCATCCTGGTCAACATGGTGAAACCCCGTCTCTACTAAAAATACAAAAAATTAGCTGGGCATGGTGGCGCGTGCCTGTAATCCCAGCTACTCAGGAAGCTGAGGCAGGAGAATCGCCTGAACCCAGGAGGCGGAGGTTGCAGTGAGCCGAGATCGCGCCATTGCACTCCAGCCTGGGTAAGAAGAGCAAAACTCCGTCTCAAAGAAAAAAAAAAAAAAAAAACAAACCTGAGATTGGGTAACTTTAAAGGAAAGAGATTTAATTGGCTCACTGTTCTGCAGGCTGTACAAGCATGGCACTGGCATCTGCTCAGCTTCCGGGGAGGCCTCAGGTAGCTTTTACTTATGGAGGAAGGTGAGGCAGGAACAGGCACGCCACATGGCAAAAGCAAGAGCACGGTGGGGGGAGGTGCTACACACTTAAACACTCAGATCTCGTGAGAACTCACTCACTATGGTGAGGACAGCACCAAGCCATGGGAGATCTGCACCCATGACCCAAACACTGCCACCAGGCCCCACCTCCAACACAGGGGATTACATTGCAACATGAGATTTAGGTGGGGACAAATATCCAAACTATGTCACCAGACAACCTGGCTCGGCCCAAATTTGGAATATAGAGTGAATTCCTCTTGGCCAGTCAGACATCTTGGTGTGATGCAGATGACAAGAATAAGAGAACAAGTGGTCCATGAGAGGGAGTCACCTCCTTTACAGCTGATGTCTGTCTTTATATCAACCCTTTATCGTGGGGCTAAGCAAATCTGAACTGCTCTGTATAATAAAGGGGTAAGGAATCTGGAAGCTTGAGGGAGAATTCAGAAGAGGGAAATGTAAACTGGCTCAATGGGTGTGGTGCAAGGGAAAGAGGAGGTAAAAAGTGATCCATGGAGGCAATACGGGGCGGGAGAGGGACTTGCTGGGACTGCTTCTGTGGGTTTTCAAGTTGTTTGCTTGGGGAGTGTGGTATTACCCTCCTCCATCATTCCTATGATACCTTTGGTAAATTCTGCATTTCACACTCATACTTTTGTAGGTATGAATTCTTGGTAGAAAAATGGAGGAGGGGTAGGGGACAGCTGATATATATTCCACCTTCTCCAGCCTGATTTTTTTTTTTTTTTTTTTGAGATCGAGTTTCGCTTTTGTTGCCCGGGCTGGAGTACCATGGTGAGATCTCAGCTCACTGCAACCTGTGCTTCCTGGGCTTAAGCAATTTTCCTTCCTCAGTCTCCCGAGTAGCTAGGATTATAGGCATGCCTCACCACACCCAGCTAATTTTGTATTTTTAGTAGAGACAGGGTTTCTCCATGTTGGTCGGGTTGGTCTTGAACGCCCAACCTCAAGTGATCCACCCACTTTGGCCTCCCAAAGTGCTAGGATTACAGGCATGAGCCACTGTGCCCAGTCTTCCAGCCTGATTTCTTTCTCTTTTTTTGAGACGGAGCCTCACTTTGTCGCCCAGGCTGGAGTGGCATGATCTTGGCTCGCTGCAACCTCCGCCTCCCAGGTTCAAGTGATTCTCCTGCTTCAGTCTCCCAAGTAGCTGTGACTACAGGCATGTGCCACCACGCCTGGCTAATTTTTGTATTTTTAGTAGAAACAGGGTTTCACCATGTTGGCCAGGCTGGTCTCGAATTCCTGATCTTGTGATCCACTCGCTTTGGCCTCCAAAGTGCTGAGATTACAAGTGTCAGCCACTGTGCCCAGCCCAGTCTGATTTCTTTAGGATCTCTTAGAGTTTTCAAGGCTACTCTATATGTGTATGTTGGCACATCTGATTATACATATCTAGTTGTATAATTATGTAAATAATATACCTGTAGCAATGTGCATATCTTTGTGTGAGAGTGTTCATGTAAGTGAATGCAGAATGTTTTAATTTATATGTATAAACATGACTGTGTGTTATATGAGTCTGAATGTGTAAGCTGTGTTCATGCGCGTAAGTTTGTATGCCAGGGCTGTGGCAAACTGTATTTTCCAGAAGTGTCTGCCAGGATACAGCCCATTCCACATGTTCTCTTTACAACAGGATATTAATACTCCTCTCAATGAGAGGTGGGTTCTCTTTCTCCTTGAATGTGGACTGACCTTTGTGACTCACTCAACCAATAGAGTACAGCAGAAGTAATGCTACGGGACTTCTGAGGCTAGATCATAGAAATACCACATACTTTTATGCCATGTTCTCTTGGGATGCTCATTCTTGGAAACCAACCACCAAGCTGTGAGGGGGCCAAGCAGCTATTTGGAGAGGCCACTTGTCAGTGTCCTAGCTGACAGCACCAGCTGAGGTTCCAACCGGCAGCCGTCGTCAATTGCCAGCCATGAGGGCGAGCATCTTGCCATTGTTGGGCCACCCTAGCTGAGAGTGTATGGAACAGAGTCAACTCTTCCCTGCTAAGGTTTGTCCAAACTGCTAAATAAATTATTGTTGTTTTAAGCTACCAAGTTAGGGATGCTTTGTTATGCAGCAGTAGATAACTGGGACAGGGCTGTGGCTGTGTCTGCCCTGTGTATGGATTCCTGTGATTCTGTGCTTTTGTGGTTGTCTGCAGGCAGTGCATTGGTGTCAGGTGTCTGTGTACATTAATAGGTGTGTGGTTGAAGGTGCTTCTGGAGACAGAGTCATGGTTCTTGGGGCTTCGCTTTGGCCTCAGTGGGAAGCTGTTTGGTGAGAACACTTTGAAATTTTGTCTGTCTTCTGGATCTCTTCTTTTGAGTGTTTTTCCTTTGAACCAGAAAAGGCTTGTTTAGCTGAGAGCAAATACAGCTTAAATTTACTGACCTTCTTCTGGTCCAAGCGCCTTGGAACTGCCAAAGCCTTCCCGCAGGTGGGAGGCTGCCATACAGAACCCTCACATCCCTTTGACAGGGGCTGGAAATGCTTCCTTCCCGCTCCTCCCACCCTCCGCCACCAGCACTTTTTTGCTTCTGACATTTTCAGAAATAAGCCAGAGACAGAGAAAAGCATAGTTACTATAGTCCTTGAACCCCCTTGGGGTGGAGAGATCTAGAATTCTTGACTGTCGTGAAGAGCTGCTCAGGTGCTGCTTGGGTCCTACAGTAGAGAACATCTGGTCTCTGCCCTGCCTCGGCCATGGCAGCCCACTCCATCCGAGTGCGGCCCAGGCAGTGGAGAAATCTGGTTCGGGAGCAGGTCCTCTTGATTTTCCCTGGAACGCCCCTTAGCTTCCTGCTTCTTCTATGTTGGCTGCTTGACTTAGCTTTTCTGGGAATGCTGAGTGCTCTGGCTTCCTTCACACCCCTGCCTTGTACTGCCTCTCAGAACCTCGAAAGCTATACAATGGAGCTTTTTTTTTTTTTTTTTTTTTTTTTGAGACTGAATTTCACGCTTGTTGCCCCAGTTGTAGTGCAATGGCGTGATCTCAGCCCACTGCAACCTCTGCCTCCTGGGTTCAAGAGATTCGCCTGCCTTAGCCTCCTGAGTGGCTGGGATTATAGGCGTGTGCCACCACGCCTGGCTAATTCTTGTATTTTTAGTAGAGACAGGGTTTTTCCATGTTGGTCAGGGGCTGGTCTTGAACTCCTGACCTCAGGTGATCTGCCCACCTCAGCCTCCCAAAGTGCTGGGATTACAGGCATAAGCTACTGCACCTAGCCCTTTAATATTTCTGTTAAATGGTGCTTGTCAGGCTGTTTTGCTCTGTTTACATTTCTGTGTCTTTCATTTGACCCTGAGCTCTTCAAGGATAAGAACCAGTAGGACTGTTTCACAGTTGTATCCCCAGAGTCAATGGCTGGCATGTAGCTTGGTGCTCATGTTCAAATGAATAAAATGTCTGCAGTCCAGAAGGGACTCCTGGCAGCAGGATCTGAGGTGTGTTCTGAAAGCTGGGTGGGCAAAGAGGAAGGGGTGGAGGGGAGAAAGCAGGTCAATACAGTCCTGAGACAGAGCGAGGGCTCCTGCTCCCCATTCAACATTCAAGGCCCTTCCAGAGAGAGCAGGGAGCCAATTCCTGATGCCAGGAATGCTTTCACACAACAGGGTATGAGGCTTGTGGGAGATTAATTGAGAAAGGCTGATCAGAGGAGAAATGATCTACTCAACACATTCTGCTTGTTGAGGAAGGCCAAATTGATCTTATAAATCTCTGCCTAGCCAGGGCTCTGGAGGTGGGTGCTGTGGTTTCCTTTGATTTGATTGATGGTGGCTGAGTTGAAGGTGATTCCTCAGGCTCTCTACCCTTCCAAGCCTTCCTTTGCTCTTCTGGGGAGTAGAAGAGGGAATCTAGAAACTCTCCAACAGAACTGCAAGAGGAACATGGTTTTTAGCCTGTTGTTTAGTTATTTAAAAGGAATTTTTTTTGGGAAGGTTCTCAGGTCCTTATTTTCTCTCTCAAATTTTAGGAATTGACTTATTTAATTAACCCATCAACCTCTCATGGCAAATATTTGAGAAAACAAATTTATATTCAAATTCTCATTTTCAGTAAGAAAGTAAGAGGTTACAGCTCAGTGCACTGTGAAGTTGAGACAGAGATGGAGATGCCCAGCACCACCTCTCTGGAACAGGAAAGATGACTGGGGAGGGAATACAGGTCAGCGTGGGGACAGGAGTCATGGTGGACATGGGGTAGGCTGTCTCTCCACCTCCTCACATTATGCTAACAGGGATGCAGAGACATTCAGATGCCTTCGCAGAAAGAGATGCCAGAGGCTCTTGAAGTCAGAAAGGGGAGGCATGAAGAAATCTCTTATCTCAGTCCCACACAAGGCAGCTGTCGTAGGCTTTGCAAGCCATGAGAGATACATCAGAGCCCTGGGCACTGTCCCTGCATGCAGCCTAAGAGCAGCTCCCTCCTTTTCCACCTGAGCTCTTCCTCCTCCAGATCACAGCAGTGACCACAGCTCCAATGACCACAGCTCCAAAGACAACCAGGTCAGCAATGATGCCCACAATGGGGATGGTGGGCTGGGAAGACGGCTCCCATCTCAGGGTGAGGGGCTCCCATCTCCCATCCCTTGTGCTGCACATGGCATGTGTATCTCTGCTCTTCGCCAGAGGGCACCACCACAGCTGCCCAATTCTGGAAGTTTCCATCCCCTGCTGGCCTGGTCTCCACAAGCTCGGTGTCCTGAGTTTGGTCCTCCCCATCCCGCTGCCAGGTCAGTGTGATCTCCGCAGGGTAGAAGCCCGGGGCCCAGCATCTCAGGGTGGCCTCACCATCAGAGACAGGGTGATGGGTCACATGTGTCTTTGGGGGATCTGCATGCTGCAGTGTCTCCTTCCCCTTGGCCAGGTATCTGCGGAGCCACTTCAGGCATGTGCCCTCCAGGTAGGCCCTGAGCCCTCCGCCTCATGGGCGGCCTCCAACTTGCGCTGGGTTATTTGAGCAGTCCTGTCAGTCTCTGTCCAAGAGCACAGGTCCTCATTCAGGGCAATGTAATTGTTTTTTTTTTTTTTTTTTTTTTTTAGAAAAAGAATAAAGAAGAGGAAGAAAGAGAAAGAGGAAGAGGGAGAGAGGATGGGGGTATTGCTTTATTGCCCGGGCTAGAATGCAATCTAAATATGGGTATGCCTATAATTGTCCTTAACAATGGAGACGTGAAAGAAAATGAGGGAAGAGAATAACAAACAAGGAGCCAACCAACATTTCATTTAAACTTCTAAGTTGATAGGATGTGGTACTGATAAGAGTGTATATTTTGTATATTTAAAGTGGAGAGTTCTATAAATGTTAATTACATTTACTTGTTCCAGATCTGAGTTCAAGTCCTGGATATCGTTGTTAATTTTCTGTCTCATTGATCTGTCTAATATTAATGTTGAAGTCTCCCACTATTATTATGTGGGAGTCTAAGTCTCTTTGTAAGTCTTGTATGTCTGCGTATTCCTGTATTGGGTGTGTATATATTTAATCTTTAGCTCTTCTTGTTGTTGCATTGATCCTTTTATCATTATATAATGTCCTTCTTTGCTTCTTTTGATCTTTGTTGCTTAATTGTAACTTCTGCTTTTAATTTATTTATTTTAGCTCTCTGTTTGGTTGGTAAATCCTTCTCCATCCCTTGTTTTGAGTCTTTGTGTATCCTTGAATGTGAGATGGGTCTGGATGCAGCATACTGATGGGTTTTAGTTTTTTATTCAAATTGCCTGTCTGTCTTTGGATTGGGGGATTTAGTCAATTTAAATTTAGAATTAATAATAAATATATGTGAGTTTAATACTGCCATTTAATATTAGCTGGCTATTTTGCCCACTAGTTGATGTAAATTCTTCATTATATTGATGCTCTTTTTGGTATTTTTTTAGAAAGGCTGATACTGTTTGTTCCTTTCTATGTGTAGTGATTCTTTCAGATGCTCTTGTAAAGCAGGCCTGGTGGTGATGAAATCTCTGAGTGCTTGCTTATTCACAAAATACTTTATTTTTCCTTCACTTGTGAATCTTAGTTTGGCTGGATGTGAAATTCTGGGTTGAAAGTTCTTTTCTTTAAGGATGTTGAATATTGGTCCTCACTCTCTTCTGGCTTGCAGGGTTTCTGCTAAGAGATCTGCTGTAAGTCTGATAGGCTTCCCTTTGTGGGTAACCTGACCTTTCTCTCTGGCTGCCCTTAGTATTTTCTCCTTCATTTCAACCCTGGTGAATCTGACGATTATGTGTCTTGGAGTTGCTCTTCTTGAGGAATATCTCTGTGGTGTTCTCTGTATTACCTGGAGTTGAATATTATCCTGCCTTACTAGGTTGGGAAAATTTTCCTGAAGCGTATTTTCCAGCTTGGATTCATTCTCTTCGTCACATTCAGGTACACCTATCAAGCGTAGATTGGGTCTTTTCACATAGTCCCATATTTCTTGGAGACTTTCCTCGTTCCTTTTTATCCTTTTTTCTCTAATCTTGTCTTCTTGTTTTATTTCATTGAGTTGGTCTTCGACCTCTGATATCCTTTCTTCTGCTTGATCAATTTGGCTGTTAAAACTTGTGCATACTTCACGTAGTTCTCGTATTGTGTTTTTCAGCTCCATCAATTCACTTATTTTCCTCTCTAAATTGTGTATTCTTGTTAACATTTTGTCAAATCTTTTTTCAAAGTTCTTAGTTTCTTTGGATTGGGTTAAAACAAGTTCTTTTAATTCACAGAAGTTTCTCATTATCCACATTTTGAAGCCTGCTTCTGTAATTGGAACACACTCGTTCTCCATCAAGCCTTGTTCCATTGCTGATGAGGAACTGTGATCCCCTGCTGAGGGAGAGGCGTTCTGATCTTGGGTATTCTCAGCCTTTTTTGGCTGTTTTCTTCCCTTCGTTATAAATTTATCGATCTGTGGTCTTTGTATTTACCTGTCTTTGTAATTGGGTTTCTGAGTGGACGTCCAACTTATTGATTCTCAGCGCCAAAATCTGAGCAACCCACTGCACCGACTAAATCAGCGGCATTAAGATTGATGGTGCTTTTCTGACTCTGCACCAAGAACCGACGCTCCAAGGCGCCGGCAAAACCACCTCGCCGGTCACAAGAGTCGCGCTGGCGACCCGTGGGGCTCCTCCGCTGGGAATCTCCTGGTGCGTGAGTAACAAGAATTCAGGTGACGGTGTGGCGTCCTCTCGTTCTTTGCGCTTTCGCTGGGAGCTACAATCCCGAGCTGCTAGTGATTAGCCATCTTGGATCTCTAGGGCAATATAATTCTTGCCATCAAAGTCATGTTGGTAATACCCGCGGAGGAGGCGCCCAACAGGCCCCAGGTCGCAGCCATAAGTCGTCTGGAGGGTGTGAGACCCGGCCTCACTCTGGTTGCGGTAGCGGAGCAGGGTCCCCAGGTTCCCTCCGTGAGTCTGTGCGCTGGCCTTGAGGGTCAGTGTTTCCCGGTCCCAATACTCCGGCCCCTCCTGCTCCATCCCACTTGGGGCCTCTCCCACTCAGGACGTCGCAGCACAGGTCTCGGTCAGGGCCAGAGCCAGGGCCCCCAAAAACAGCAGGAGGCGGGTTTGGGGCGCCATGATCCCATCCTCGGTGTCTGGGGAGAATCCGGAATTTTTTTTTTTTTTTTTTTTTTCCGAGACAGAGTCTCACTCTGTCTCCCAGGTTGGAGTGCGGTGGCATGATCTTGGCTCACTGCAAGCTCTGCCTCCCAGGTTCAAGCAATTCTCCCTGTCTCAGCCTCCCAAGTAGCTGGAATTACAGGTGCCCGCCACTATGGCTCTCTAATTTTTGTATTTTTAAAATTTATTTATTTTTGAGACGCAGTCTTGCTCTGTCGCCAGGCTGGAGTGCAGTGTTGTGATCTCAGCTCACTGTGACCTCTGACTCCCCAGTTCAAGCGATTCTCCTGCCTCAGCCTCCTGAGTAGCTGGTATTACAGTAGCGCACCACCAGCCCCAGCTAATTTTTGTATTTTTAGCAGAGATGGGGTTTCACCATGTTGGTCAGGATGGTCTCGATCTCCTGACCTCATGATCTGCCCACCTCAGCCTCCCAAAGAGCTGAGATTACAGGTGTGAGCCACTGTGCCTGGTCTTAATTTTTATATTTTTTGGTAGAGATGGGGTTTTGCCATGTTGACCAGGCTGGTCTTGAACTCCTGACCTCAGGTATTCCACCCGCCTCGGCATCCCAAAGTGCTGGGATTACAGGCATGAGTCATCACACCTGGTCCAAAAGAAAATTTTAAATTTACTTTTGCCCAGGTCCAAGACTTATACAAGGAAACAAAGACAGGAGACTACCACAATCCCAGCACCCACAGTGATCCCTGGACTTCAAACTTCTCACCTATACAGTGGGCCTCCTTGCTTGGGGACTGTGTAAGTACTAGAGGCTGTCTGCTTAGGTCCAACCCTGCACACTGGCTTCAGCAGCTCAACAGGCTTGATTTCAGAGCAAGTTCCTCTGAGAAAGTTGTTGTGTCAGGGTATGTCTTAGTCTTGGAACTACTATAACAAAAACCTTAGGCTGTGGAATCTATAAATAGAAATGTACTGCTTACTGTTCTAGAGATGGGGAAATCCAAGATAAAAGTGCTAACAGATTTAGGGGCTGGTAAGAGCTTGCTTCCTGTTTCAGGGATGGTGCCTTGCTGCCTTAGTTTCACATGGTAGAAGCAGAGATCCATCGCAGAAGAGGCAAGGCAGCTCCCTTCAACCTGACCACCTTTTAATATAATCACATTGGATATTAGGTTTCACCTCATGAATTTAGGAGAAACACCAACATTCAGACCATGGCAGGGTTTTTCAAGGTTTGGAGACTGGGGTTGGGGTGGGCGTGGGAGGCAGACTATCCCTTTCCTACCACAGATTTGAGCTGGTTAGATCTGTCCCAAGGAGAAAGACGGGCCCTGCTTTGAGCACTGGCAGCTGTGTTCAGCCGGACTCTTCTCTTGGCCCAAGCATTCATTTATTCATGCTATTATAAGATTTGAACTTATTCTATTTTTAAGGCTCTTACTCTTGTAGCACTTTATTAATATCTTTTTTATAATCTGTGCCAGTCTCAATTATAATTTATATGTTCATTCTGTAATTTATTACTCATGAGATAGGTATTTGTTGAACATTTATTATTTATCCTCATGGTACTAGGGAGTGATGTAAGCTAGAATTATTCTTAGGCCCAGTTCTTCTCACCGGTCTCCTGTGTGTTCCAGGAGAAAAGTGAGCTACTCTCTTTCCAACTCTGGCCCCAGGTGTTTTATCTAGACCCTTCTCATAAACTGGCACTATTCACTGAACTACTGCCCAGGGGCTTGTTCTCCCTTCCCAGACTACTAACTAAGCTCAGTGGCTATGAAGTCAATTTCCCATCTGCTTGCAGTAAACATAATCAAGAAGTTAAATTGACTACTAGAAACTCATATAGTACATGGAAAAGGCAAAGAACTCCATAGCTAGGTTGTTTGCTATTGGGGAATATTGCCATTTGGGGAGGTCACTGCTTGTCTGGATTATCCTTTTCTCCACTCATGAATGACTAGGAATCACTGTGTGGGGGCTCTGAGGGTAGGAATGGGGAGCCTTTTTTTTTTTTTTTTTTTTTTTTTTTGATATAGAGTCTTGCTCGGTCGTCCAAGCTGGAGTACAGTGGTGTGATCTCAGCTCACTGCAACCTCCAACTCCCAGGTTCAAGCAGTTCTCTTGTCTGAATCTCCTGAGTAGCTTGGACTACAGGCGCCTGCCACCATGCCCAGCTGATTTTTGTATTTTTAATAGAGATGGGGGTTTCACCATGTTGGCCAGGCTGGTCTCAAACTCCTGACCTTGTGATCCACCAGCCTCAGCCTCCCAAAGTGCTGGGATTACAGGCATGAGTCACCGAGCCCGGCAGGGGGCAGCCATTTTACTCATCAGGTTAAGCGTGTCTGGGCAAGGGGAAGGTCTGAAGGTGAACAGTGTAAAGAGAACAAGACCTTGGAGGCACCTAAAAGCTTGAACTCCTAGTTCTACCACTTTCTGACCGTATGACTTTGTATAACTCCTTTAGCCTCTTTGAGCCTCAGCTTCCCCATTTATAAAAAGGGGATGACCATTCTGCTCAGAGGACATTATAAGTAACTATAATGTATATGTAACACCTGGCACAGAAAATGTGATATTCAATGGTAAAGCAGAATTTGACACCAGCCTGGGCAACATAGCAACATCCTGTCCGTTAAAAAAAAAAAAAAAAAAAAAAAAAAATTAGCGGGACCACGCGCCTGTGGTCCCAGCTACTGGAGGCTGAGGGGGAGGATCCCTTGAGCCTGGGACGTCAAGACCCTGTCTTAAAAAAAAAAAAAAATCAGAACTGCAAGTGACCTTTATTTTATTACGTTTTGAGACAGTCTCACTTTGTCACCTAGGCTGGAGTGCAGTGGAACGATTTTGGCTCACTGCAACCTCTGCCTCATGGGTTCAAGCGATTCTCCTGCCTCAGCCTCCCAAATAGCTGGGATTACAGGCGCCCACTATCACGCCCAACGAATTTTTGTATATTTAGTAAAGACCGAGTTTCACCATGTCGGCCAGGCTGGTCTCGAACTTATGGCCGTAAACGATCTACTCACCTCGGCCTCCGAAAGAGCTGGGATTACAGGTGTGAGCCACCGCTCCCGGCCACCTGCTGCTATTTTAAAAATAATTGGCCCTTGTCAAAAATTTACACAATACACAAGTATATAAAGTGAGTGACTTACAGGTGTCCTATTTTGCTAAATTTGTGGGAAACTTTATTGCTTGAGACTCTCGGCTTCTGTCCCAAACTGAATCATAAGAACTTGATTTATTTTTACTCTACACCCCTCTGATTGCTTTCTGATGGTCCCTCCGCTAGGAAGAAATTAACGCCGTTGGAAAATCAGAGGAAACTTGCAGTTCCAGCCTGGAAGCAGAAGCAGGTGTGCAGGAATCTCTTTAGCCCTCTCTCTTCCGGAGGAGGGGCACGGGGGCAGCCCGTGCAGGACTCTGCGAAGGGCGGTGCCAGGGGTGGGGCTCCGGACTTGGTGCCGGACGCGGGCGCGGCGCGCTGTTCTGGCAGCCCGCGATTGGGCGAGGCCGCGAGAGGCGTAACGGTCGCCAGCTCACGGGCTCAGACGGTCGCCGCCGCGTTTGCGCAGGGGGAGCTTGTCGCCGTCGCGGCCGCCTGGAATTGTGGGGGTTGTGTCTGCCACTCGGCTGCGGGAAGCCGAAGGTAGGGGTGGTGAGGGCCGCCCGGCCCTGGAGCTGGGCGGGGGGCTCAGGGCGCTTCCTGGGCCACCTCCTGCCGGCGGCCTCGGCGCCTTCGCAGCAGTGTTCTCGGGACCCACACATCCTCACTAGTGTCTCCAAAGCGGGTCGTCCATGTGGGCCCGGGGCTCCCTGCCTAAGGCCCACCTCTCTTGCCTTTCGCACTCGGAATGTCTCCATTCACGTCTTTATTGGCAGGAGATGAGGCCGTGGAAATTCGAGAGTGGCTTTGGCTCCGCATGTTTTTAATGTCCTTCCCTGTTTCATTTTCCTGGCCTCAGTTTCCATATCTGTCCGAAGAAGGGGTGGTTTGGGTGTTGATCTCCGAGACCGTATGTCTCCTCCCATGTGGAAGTATTGCCACTCTCCTGTTGCTTGTTTTCTTTTGAACTGGAAGATAGAAAATTAGCATTTAGATGTTAACATTACTTTGGTTAGTGTTATCTCTCAGATCGAGAGGGTTTGTGCTTAAGCTTTGGACTCCATCCCCAGGGATTTCGGATAAGGTGGTGCGTGGGCAGCTGCAGTGCTTATTATCCCAGGAGGTTCTCATTCAGGTGGTTCCAGAATCCCGGCTTTGGAAATCCTTGGTTCAGAAGTCAGGAGAGAAAGCCTTGACCTATGAGTCCCTGGAATGGGGTTCTGCGTGGGGAAAGCCAGGAATCAGGAAATGCTAACACCTGTGAGGCCGGGGCTGGGGTTTTCTTTGCACCGGAGGAATTAGAATGCCATTTGATTTCTTTAAAAAATATTTGACTACTTATACATGTAAGATCAGTTTTCTAAGATTTTTAAATGCCTGGCTTCGATTAAAGCCCACGTCAAGAAACCGAAATAAAACCATAAACTGCTCTGAGAGATGAGGAGGGGGTTAAGTCAACCCACACTAAGTAGACAGGAGGAGAATGAAACTTCTGTATTTGCTAAGAGAAGAAACTGATGTGCTTATAAACATTTTTTTTTGTTTTTTTTGAGATGGAGTTTCGCTCTTGTTGCCCAGGCTGGAGTGCAATGGTGTGATCTCGGCTCACCACAACTTCTGCCTCCCAGGTTCAAGCGATTCTTCTGCTTTAGCATCCTGAGTAGCAGGGATTACAGGCATGCGCCACCATGCCCGTCTACTTTTCTATTTTTAGTAGAGATTGGGTTTCTCCGTGTTAGACTGGTCTTGAACTCCTGTCCTCAGGTGATCAGCCCGT